CCTTATAGCTGGGTCTAGGATCCCCAGATTACGTAATTACTATTAAAAACACGGCTAGAAAACCACAATAAACTATATTTTTAGTGACAGTTATATACTTAATCCATTGGAGATGGAGTGACTCTCTCCTCGGCTCTTAGTACTCACGCTTTGAAATACTGAAATTGGAGTTATTAAAATCGTCCAGGGCATTACAGTAGCTAAAATACGTATCTGAAGTTACTGATTCTCGGTCTTTGTTGAAGAAACGTGTTCCCGCAGTCCTGAAATTGCTATCCTTCTGGGGTGTCCTTTTTGCAATCACTATCAACTAATGTGGCCTTATACTGCGCTTTTTGGTTGACATAGCTGGAGTTACTTGCAGTACATGTAGGCTTATACACTTATGCACAGTTTTGGATTTCAATTCACTTGGAAAAGAAGTTTTGAGGGATGGCAAGGATGTTTATATTTTCCTGGCAATGAAATTTCTGTACCCTATAAATGTTGAGCAGTTTTTTAGCTATTGGTTGTGACGGATTGCCTCGATATTGTCAAAGTAGGGGTTGAGTCGTTCGACCAGCTCTCGATTCCCTTTATTGATTTCGGAACCGCGTAGTTTTTCTTTCCTTCAAAAATCTTGTTAAGAGTTTTTGGTGCTATTCGTCGGACCATTTTTGGGATTCTGAATTCAATTATAATGTTTCCTGTTTTTTTTTCTGAAAGCTTTGTCAAATTTTTTCCATGTTGAGTTACTTCAAAAAACCCATGAATCGTCCCTTCAATGACCTTTCGTTTGTACTGCAAAGAGGCGCAGCTGGTATGATATGAACTGTTTTCGTGACTCGACGTTTACATTTAAAGCCAAAAGGCCAAATTACCGTGCTCGTCTGATTCTTCCAAAGTAATTTGTTAGTTTGGATGCATCTTATTAGCAGCCGCGAGACCCTCACGGGTTCTCCGTCTTTGTTGAAGAAGGCGTCTTCCTCACCACATGGAAGGTCTTCTTCTTTAAACCCTATCCTTCCCGATTTGCAGACTCAACAAAGTAACGAATGTAACTGCACAAACATTTTGTTTCGGAAGGCTTCGTCTCTTACTTAAATTCGAGTTTTCTTAAGTAATTTTCTAGTTTCCTTATGAGCGAAAATGTTTTTCTGAGTTTTCGGTATTCCGTTTTTACGAATATATACGGTGTTATCTGTCAAATTTGTCAAGTTGCTCCACAAGTGCAGACTAGTTTACCAGTTTGAGACTCTACCTCAAAATTTCAGGGTCAAAAATGGCTGCTAAGATGTCAAATCAGGGCCAGGCTGACCTCACCCGGGTGGCCATTGTTAGTAAAGACAAGTGCAAACCTAAAAAATGTCGGCAAGAATGCAGAAAATCGTGCCCAGTGAATAAAGTCGGTTAGTGAGTTTTTATCCTGAGAATTTGCGAGCAGTTATTTAATAGTGGACGAAAGATATCGGATTTTTTTTCCGTTTTCTTCAACCAATTTTTAGTGTTTCTTACTATCAAAAATTGGGAAAATTTGGTTTTTGGTACCAAACTAGTTCCAACCACTTCCGAACTAAAGTTAACCGGTTCTACTTATTACAGTAGTGCAGTTACGATGTAACACACTAACTTAGCGCTTTTTTCCGTTTCAAAAAATATCGATATCTCAAAAATCGCGACTTGTGGGGGGATCAAAATATCGCTATTTTGACCCTAAAAACCGGTCTGTTTTCGTTGTTTTTCACTGAAAAACGATATGTGACTATTAATATAGGCTATATGAATAATAATATTAGTAATACTATACCCCTCCGGGTTTGTTTATTATCCGAATTAAGGTGCTTAACTCGGATATTCGCAGTTCGGTGAAGGGTCACTACAGTGCAGCACTGTCGAGCCCCCCACAGATTACTATCTTACTTTTTGTACCAAAAGGGATACAAAACTTGTTAACGATACCCAACAGTCGATTGTTGTTGTCGTTGAGCCCCTTCTTGTTGCTCCTTGAACTGCTTGCCGGATCGGTCTTCACCCAAGACCCTTCCGAATTGAGCGCAAATCAGCTGACCCTTCCGGATTGAGCGCAATTTATCATTAACGTGCTTAAATGCTCAAATAACCCTACAGTACAAGCCTCACAAACGGGCTACAAAATTGATCGTAACGATCCTGACTGATATAAATGCCTGTAACAACAATATATCTATCAACAACAAACGGGGGGGTTGAATCACATCTTGTCTGGGGGGATGATTTCTACTGATTTTTTACTTTTTTACTGTTTTTGGTTTTTTCGGTTATTTTTTATGTTTTTTGTTTTTCTTGGGTACTATACTACTTTTTGTTTGGTTTTGCTGATATCTTTAAGTGTTTTTGGTCACAAACCACTCAGGGGATGAGGGGTTCATGATTCCCCCCACCCTTCCTGGTTCGTGAATTTTCGGTCTTAACTAGGTTAAAAAACTATTCACGGTAATCCGGAAGGCTTCCGCGTTCCGAACTACCCTTCCGCCCCGGCAGTTTAGGCCTATTAAGGGCGTTAATGTGAGCATCCGCTCGGCGCGGAGTGCTCGTTAACGGTTCCGCCGGTCATGATGTTATGAAAGAATAACACCCAGGAGCGCCATAAAAACATACATGTAACATTCGCCCGGAAGATACATATCGACGGATAACAAAACTAAGTCTTAAGACGACTGGCTAGCGTCTAAACAGAGCTTTGCATGTTTTTCACCGTCTCTACCAAGCCAGTACTTTTCGGTGGTCTTTCTTACATCAGGCTGACAAAAACGTTACTGTTCTCCGGCTTCGACCAGAACGCTCAAAATAACTGAATTACATGCAAAGTTAGTGAGCTCATAGCTGGGTCTCAGTATCCCCAGACCACGAGGTCACTCCTAAAAACAGGGCTACTACTTATCATATTACTATTGTTTTTGTTCAGTAGATAAAAATCATCATCTCCATCGAAGATGGATCAACCCTTTCCCCCCAACTCCTAGCACCTCATCCTTGTCAAAACTAATCAAAATATCAGTTAAATTCAAGTCAGGACATGACAGGATGCTAAAAGTTTATGTGAGTTAATAAAAGTTTCCGTCCCGAGACCCTTCCGGATTCTTGAATCCGCCGAATCAAGCTCCTTACTCTTGATTTCTTGCTAATCCGGAAGGCTGGTTCTCACCCTTCACCGTTGTTGGCAACGGCCTTGCAACTATTGTAGCAGCACAATAGTTGCAACTCGGAACGTTCTCTGCTATTCTGTAGTTCGTTGTCGTTTTCCAATCTCGATTTTCGTACTGTTCGCAATCGCAGATAAAAGTTGTTCTGTTTCTTTCTGCTATTTTAGCCAAAATGGCCGTTTTAACATTTCTCAGAAATGTTACGTTATCACTTCGAAAATTTAAAATTTAGAATTCCAGAATCTTCTAGCCTTCACCGTTTGGCCAATCATTCAAATAACGTCCTTATCCGTTCTAAATCGCCAATCCGGAAGGTTCACTGCTAAAATCCTGAATTCTGCAGAGACTGCATTTTGGCCATTCTGGTCGAATGTCACATCGCCTATACATTACACAGTGATGGAGCGTAGGAAATTTACCTATTGACCATTGGCTGACGTCAGTTACCTTAATTCTGATTATTTTTAACCGTCTAGACATAGCCAACTATTTTTCTGGTCTGTTTTGGTCTAAATAAAAAGTTACCATTTTTAGGCAATCAGCCGAACGACCTTTGATCAGCTTTCGCTTACATGCAAAAATAACCTTATAGCTGGGTCTAGGATCCCCAGATTACGTAATTACTATTAAAAACACGGCTAGAAAACCACAATAAACTATATTTTTAGTGACAGTTATATACTTAATCCATTGGAGATGGAGTGACTCTCTCCTCGGCTCTTAGTACTCACGCTTTGAAATACTGAAATTGGAGTTATTAAAATCGTCCAGGGCATTACAGTAGCTAAAATACGTATCTGAAGTTACTGATTCTCGGTCTTTGTTGAAGAAACGTGTTCCCGCAGTCCTGAAATTGCTATCCTTCTGGGGTGTCCTTTTTGCAATCACTATCAACTAATGTGGCCTTATACTGCGCGTTTTGGTTGACATAGCTGGAGTTACTTGCAGTACATGTAGGCTTATACACTTATGCACAGTTTTGGATTTCAATTCACTTGGAAAAGAAGTTTTGAGGGATGGCAAGGATGTTTATATTTTCCTGGCAATGAAATTTCTGTACCCTATAAATGTTGAGCAGTTTTTTAGCTATTGGTTGTGACGGATTGCCTCGATATTGTCAAAGTAGGGGTTGAGTCGTTCGACCAGCTCTCGATTCCCTTTATTGATTTCGGAACCGCGTAGTTTTTCTTTCCTTCAAAAATCTTGTTAAGAGTTTTTGGTGCTATTCGTCGGACCATTTTTGGGATTCTGAATTCAATTATAATGTTTCCTGTTTTTTTTCTGAAAGCTTTGTCAAATTTTTTCCATGTTGAGTTACTTCAAAAAACCCATGAATCGTCCCTTCAATGACCTTTCGTTTGTACTGCAAAGAGGCGCAGCTGGTATGATATGAACTGTTTTCGTGACTCGACGTTTACATTTAAAGCCAAAAGGCCAAATTACCGTGCTCGTCTGATTCTTCCAAAGTAATTTGTTAGTTTGGATGCATCTTATTAGCAGCCGCGAGACCCTCACGGGTTCTCCGTCTTTGTTGAAGAAGGCGTCTTCCTCACCACATGGAAGGTCTTCTTCTTTAAACCCTATCCTTCCCGATTTGCAGACTCAACAAAGTAACGAATGTAACTGCACAAACATTTTGTTTCGGAAGGCTTCGTCTCTTACTTAAATTCGAGTTTTCTTAAGTAATTTTCTAGTTTCCTTATGAGCGAAAATGTTTTTCTGAGTTTTCGGTATTCCGTTTTTACGAATATATACGGTGTTATCTGTCAAATTTGTCAAGTTGCTCCACAAGTGCAGACTAGTTTACCAGTTTGAGACTCTACCTCAAAATTTCAGGGTCAAAAATGGCTGCTAAGATGTCAAATCAGGGCCAGGCTGACCTCACCCGGGTGGCCATTGTTAGTAAAGACAAGTGCAAACCTAAAAAATGTCGGCAAGAATGCAGAAAATCGTGCCCAGTGAATAAAGTCGGTTAGTGAGTTTTTATCCTGAGAATTTGCGAGCAGTTATTTAATAGTGGACGAAAGATATCGGATTTTTTTTCCGTTTTCTTCAACCAATTTGACTTCATCTAATTGTTTTTTCGCATGAATTCAAAAAACTTGATCTAACCACCGCCATATGTTCGACATTATAATTCAAACCAGCATATTTTCTAAAATAGACTGAAAAATTTTATTTTGCAGGATCACTCAAGCTAATGTTGAGGTATATAATGATCATACATGGGGTGCTTTTGGTTTAATCGATAAAATTATTATCAATGTATTTCTTCGAAGCTTTTTAATAAAATTTTTGTCAAAGTTGAATCCAATCACCACTGTTTAGAAAAAAAAATTGCAAAAAAAACAAATTGCATCAGCAAGAACAATAAAATTCTAAAAACGATGTTCTTATACCTTCATGTACTGATGGGTATCATGGGATTTGACATTATGACGTTCAACTGCTCATATCTTTGCATAAAGTAATGAAACATTCTACTATTGGTCAGAAGAATATTACGTACTGATTGGTCAGAAGAATATTACGTACTGATTGGTCAGAAGAATACAACGATATTGATGTCTAGCTGTACTTGGTTTCTAAACTGTAAATGCCTCACATGCCGCTCCTAACAAACTGAAACTTATTGTTTACTGAAATTTTTGTTTATTTTGTTTTTAAACCCATTTTAGGGAATTTAAGTCTTTCAGTAGTAGGTGTGAAGAAAATAACTCAAAATCTTTCCAACCAGCTTCTTATTGTTTCCAATTTGAACCATTTTTTTGAGAATTTGCGCTGAGTACCGAATTGAGAGTTAGTGAAATATGAAACGTTTTGGTAATCTTGACATAAAACTTTTTCGCTAAAAAAATAGCAGGCTCCTAAAGGAAGCTCATTCGACGTAACTAGTAGCGGAAGCAGAATAGAAAATGTGTTTTGTTGTATTCGATCCTCCAAGTTGCTTGGTTGTTTTTGCTAAAGATGCCTCTGATTGTAATCAAACGCCAGCCGTCTTTTTATGAGAGCTTTTTTCATTTTTGCTAGACTTCTGAATAGCGTTGCTTTTTAAGTTATGCTTTAACGTCGTGTTTTATTTAGGGAAGTTGTGCATTGAGGTTTTGCCGACATCCAAAATTGCGTCCATATCTGAGGAACTCTGCATAGGATGTGGAATTTGTCCGAAGGTAAAGTTGAAAAATATTTAAGCTTCACGAGGGAATTCTCCGTGAATCAGACAGGGATAATTAGTTGGGTCTGTTTCAGAAATGTCCTTTCGAGGCCATTCAAATCATTAATCTTCCCACAAATCTGGAGAAGGAAACAACTCACAGATACGGTGCAAACTCATTCAAATTACACAGGTTAGTCCCCACAGAACTCAAATTAAATTTGTTTGTTTGGCACAAGTGTAGAATATTTCATCTATCATTGCAATATATTTAACAAGATAAATTTGGGCTGCTAAATAACAGAACTTCAAAAAGGTCTACATGAGCGAAGGATGAAGGGTATAGGCGAAAACATGGAGACCGCAGAAATTGAAATAAGCAGGCTTATTTGTCACAAAACAGCATCTTGTGTTGTAGTGCGACGCCAGTTTTTGTTACCAGTCACTCATTTCATTGATTCTATATCGGGATTTCGAAGCAGCATAGGCTGTACGAACCTTCTCATGGTGGTTGTTCCGACCACTGAAAGTGGAGAGGAACTTTGTCTTCGGGGTGTTTGTTTAATTGTTTTTACCCGGGCGATAAGGTACTAGAATTTTCCCGTAAATAAATAGTCGGCTTATTATTTGTCTGTCTATGTTTTGTCGGCTTACTTGCCGCATCGTAGAAATGTTTTTTTTTTGTGTATGCAAAAGTTACATTGTAGTGCGTTTAGTGTCTATATGCGAATCTTAGTGTATTTTTATGAAGAATTTTTTGCAATTAAAAGGGCTCGTTTGGTGGCACTATTGGTATATTTCAATTTTGGCTAGTGTTAGGCCCTGTTTAAAAAAAGTACTCTGAAAATGTATGGGAATTGTTGTTTTTCGTTTTTTTGAGACGCTTTGAAAAATTATTGCACTCTTTGCAGACATCTTAATTTTTCGAAAAAAGTACTCTACCGATTTTCAAAAATAAAAAATGGTGCTAATGGAAAAACCGGCTCCTCTTCTATGTGCTGCATTTTTCGGTAGTTTATTTTCATTTTACCTCGCGTTCTACGGCCTTAGAAAGTTTCGGTAGAGGGAATTTTGGCCTTTTGTTTTGAGATGTAGGCTTCAATCAAAAGAACAAAAAATGGGGATCTCCCCTTCTCAAGCGGCTATTCCCTAAATTCGACAGAAAAAGGTTATGGCCTCAAACAAGCCTAGAAAACATCGAATTTTTGAAATATTGCCCGTTTTTTGGAAATTTAATTTTTTTTTAAAGTAATCTGCTAATTCTGAAGTTGGTAGCTCGTTAAAACTAACATGGTGCTTATATTTAATCTGTTTTATTCTGCTTTTTTTTGAAGAAAAGCTGATATGGAGTTCGGAAGAGTTCTTTTTAAATTTAAAAAAAAAAACTTTTCACAACTCTGTTCACGGGACTCTTCCCATCTGGACTCATTTCCTTGAAGCCTACTTGCAACGAATTTACCGCTACAGTTAGTTTTTGTGATCGTATCTGCCCTGTTCGAGTTTTTCATGTGGTTTGTAATTTAACTATAGTTTGCTAAAATTTGTTATTTTGTTCCTTTTTTCTTTCGGCTTGATAGGTTTCGGCTCAGTGGTCTGATTTTGTTTCGTTCGACAAGTAAAATTTTTTTTTGTGTGTGTGTTTTGAGGACTGGGGATTTTATAACTTTTAATTATTTTAGTGGTCTTGTATTTCGTCGTTCGACCACCAAAAAATTTCTTTTTTAATGTGTGTGTGTTTTGAGGGTGAATTTAACATTCTTTTGTCTTAGCTTGTTTTTTTGTTTTTCGTTTCAAAACAAGCTCTATTCTTTTTGATAGATCTAGTTTTTTCGACTTTTTTTTTGCTCCAAGCTGCTTTCTTGTTTTTTGTCGCAAGTGGTGCGAAGCTCAGCTTCGCCTCTTTGTAGGAATACGAGTTTTTGTTTAAACTGTTAAAAGTTTCTTATAGCACCTTCTGAGAATAGACAATAGTTTCAAAAAATTTCATAGAAAATTCGGTTTCGATTTTTTAAAATTATTTTTCCTTTCGTTTATCTAAAAAGCTGTTGTTGAAGATGACTAACTTACTGTTTCTATCGAATACGCGTAAGTTCTAGACTTTCGTTCAGATCCTCTCATTACACGTCGGACAAGCGACACAATTTGGAAAAATTACGGAAACTAGATTTTTTTTGTTAGTTTTTTAATTGATTTCTTTTACATTCAATTCAATTGTATCATTAGTATTTATTCTATTTACCAGGCATAGAATCATATCTATGCTCTCTCCCCAGATGCATATTCGAAATGAGAAGAAGAAGAATTAATTTCTCGATGTTCCTTATTTTTTTAATCAGTTGAATTAGCTCTATATACATCAGTAACAAAGAGTGGACAGCTTACGAACCCAAATGAGTTACCAATTGCTGCCCATGGTTTGTTTGAAATCAATTCAAATACAACACAGAAGAAAACTTAGATACACAATAAATTAAGCCTAAATGCAAAAGCTGACGAAAAAGATTAGCAAATGCCACAAAATTACAAAAAAGGGTATGTGGCATCATCTCAACAAGTTGTGCACTTACTGAACAATAGGTGGTTCAATTTGAAGGACATTATCTTTTTGTGGTATAAAAAACAAGTAATTTATAAAAATTAGTTTTGCTGAAAAAATTTAAAAAACTGGCTAGTCTTAGGCATCTTTAGTCGGTTTCATTACAAAAACTTGAATTTGTTCACATAGCGGTTCCTGCTTCTACTAACTATGTCTCCTCCCCTAGAGGCCCCGTAACATCAAAATCATTGAACGGGGGCTTGAGAGTCAGTTCAGTCGGCACCTAACTGAGCTCATGTGGCAGTAACCAGTGAACAAGTCCAAGTAGAGGCTTTCAAATGCCAAAAGTGATTCGAAAACCCGCATCGAAATTGTAATAATTTTGACAGCAGACTTACGGTCTGAGTTGTTCTTTTGAAATATCAGTTGAGTTAATAGTTTCAAAAAATTCATTAACAAAAAATAAGTTTGATCAGATCTTCATTGCTCAAGATGAATAAATCGCGCACTTGGTGAGCAATCTGTTGAACATTGGCTTGAGAGAAACCGGCAAAATTGGTGCGAAGAAGTGAATTATAAAGCTTTGTTACCCGGTTACTAAGTGACGCTCGTGGAACTTTGCTGTTCAGATTAGGTGTTTTCGTCAAATCTATTATTGCCCTTTTGTATTGTACGAAGGTGCATCGAATTTGAAAAGTTCATTTAAAAATCTTTCCGAATGCAGCCCTGAGACTGATCGCCACACGAATTTCAAAATTTCAAATACATAGAGCTCGTGAACTGTTAGTCTTTTCATCAAGGAATACATTTTTATGCTTTCAAAGTTTCTTTTATAGTAAATCAACCTAAATATATATTGTATCCTGAAAAGGGGCAAACGGTTTTTATAACTAGTGCAACCGTACACTAGAATACCGTATTGCAACATTGGTTTAATGTTAGCTATAATATTTGAGTGAAAACAGTTTTAGGAATATAATGACGCATTTTCGAGACGATGCCATATTGTTTTCTAAGCTGAGTTCGAACGAAATCAATATGAACATTGAAGGATAAATTGGTATCTAAATAAATACCAAGATGATTGCAAGATGAATCACGTTTTAAGGGTATGTCATTGATATGAAACCCATATTGACATTAAAGCGCATATTCTAAACAAGACTGCTCGTATCAGGGTGACCCTGAATGTTCCGACTGCTTTTTAAGGTCTATGGATAAGTAATAGCATGAAAAAATTAAATGTAATAAAAATAAAATGATTTTCTTCTAGATTAGATTTTTTTATGAAAATCATCCCCCCACACGCATATAAAGTACAAAGTGATAAATATCGCTCCTAGTAACAAATCAATTATGGCAAATAAGCTTTGTTCAACTACTTTGGAACGAATTCTAAGACGGATTATATCTTCGCTCACGCGTTAATAGCGCGAAATATATCGCGCGTTAATTGTCTCAAATTGCCAAAATGGCAATCCTTAAACCCCCATAACTTTACAAAAAATGATCACAGGTAAATATATTGCGCGATATGAAACGCATATTGACATTAAAGCGCATATTCCAAACAAGACTGCTCGTATCGAGGCGAAACCCTGAATGTTTCGACTGCCTTTTGAGGTCTAAGGAGCAGTAATAACATGAAAACAATTAAGTGTAAAAAAATAAAATGAAAGAAATTTTTTTTTGATTTTTGTAAAAACCCTTCCCCCAAACGCCGTATAAAGTACAAAGTGATAGATTTTGCTCCTAGTAACAACTCAGTTGTGGCAAATAAGCTTACTTCAACGATAGTTGTGGCAAATAAGCTTATTTTGGAACGATTTCTAAGGCCGATTAAATCTCCGCTTACGCGTTAATAGGCCGAAATATATCGCGTGTTAATTGTCTCAAATTGCCAAAATGGCAATCCTTAAACCCCCATAACTTTACGAAAAATTAGCTTAGGTGAAATATCTTTACTTCAAGCTCAGTAAAACAATACTTTTTGAATAATAAAAAATTCCGTTAAAATAAGTAGTTAAAAGGTCGAAGTTTGTCTGAAGAAAAAAACACACCCCGAGCTCAAATATTCTGATACTTTCGTTACGAAAGTCGGAACAATAAATTTGAAGTTTTGTCGTAAAGGTAGTAGTATATTTACCAAAACTCGATGAGGTCTGCCTGCGAGGAAAAAGACACTGGACGAGCTCACCAAAGGATTGAATAACCAAGTATTAGTTACAACTGAAGCTGTCAATTCACTAGAGATTAAAGTGGATAAATTGATAGCAGGAAAACCTGTGCCTTTTGTATATGGACCTATACCTAGTAGTTCTATATTACCCTTGATTCTGAAATTGATCACGAAATTTTCTGATCATATCATCCACTGAAAGGGCCAGGAAATTAACAGAAAAAGGAAAAACGTTTGTAGTCTGGAAGTTTCGACTGCGATTTCAGACTTCTATCTGGTTGCAGTGATGTGAAGTTTAAAAAACTGAGAACCAGCCAGCAGCAAATCAACACCCGGTAGTGCTTACATCACCAGAGCTCTATAGTGATTAGGAGACCCGGTTTTTCACAGACAATTTGGGTATACTTAGCAGGAGAACTAACCCAGGCAAGTCCTCTTTCGAGACCAATGAATAGAAAACAAAAATTGATTGAATGTTAAACTAGACAATGGGGATTTTGAGTTGTTGGAGAATTAGAAAGATATCGTTGATGTAATTTTCATACCACTACCCGCCTTGCATGCGTCCGAACGTGAAATACTTGATACAATGATGCTTTTTGTTCATCAAGATTCGTCAATGGAATAGTGCTTAGCGAATGTCCAAGACAATAGTGGCAGTTATAAAGCAAAATAATCAGAGGTGTACAGCAAAGAAAGGTAGTTAGAGGTGGTGGAATATGGTGATAAGGCACTGGAATTATCCAAAAGTCGTCGCCGATAAAGATGTTGATAAAACCAATCAGCATTTTGCAAGTGAATTAAAATGCTCAACTTGTGCTACCAGTAGCGTACTGAATCAGGATAATTTAGCATCACAGATGACCTAGCGGCAGACATTGGCTTCAATTGTTGTTTGCAGTTCGGGTAAAATCATTTCTCAAATTTCCGCAAAATATTCCGCAAAGAGATAATGGTCAGAAATTTTCATGTGCTCATGGTTTGCCGGGTTTTTGAATTGAGTATATTATGTCTAGTATATTATGACTTTTTCTATCTAATTGTTTTTTTTTCTATCTATCTTTTTGTGTGTTTCCTTCCAATAACCAGTATGGTAAACAATCGAGCCCGCTCGCAGTTCTGTTCCGTTTTTGAAGAAAAATTAACTAAACGCAAGGTCCAACGGTGTATTTACAACAACGGTGTAACTGCAAACAACAATTGAAGCCAATATCTGCCGCTAGATCATCCATATGTCTCAAGTTGCTCTGTTCAGGCTACAAATTGAATGCCTGCGAGTCAAAGAAACGAAATGTGTGCATCAGATTTTCTCAATTGATATTTCAAACGCTTTAGGCATGGTGCTCTAAAGCCTCAAACAAGAAGAATTGGAAGCGTCCTAACCCAAGTTTGGCCAAAGTTTATTTCGATAACAGATTATCCCTTCAACCGAAAATGTTGCTAGCAAAATTCAGGATAAACCTCACAATATCATATTGGAATCCAACATTACAACTCGAAGATCGAGATGAACAGCTTAAACAGATCCAAACTTTATTCTCATCAGCATGTGTGCGCCTATGAAAACTGTGTTTATCAGAAAATCGTGTAAACGTATTTTGAAACAATTGCAAAAACCACCTGCATCATTTCAATCCTTCATGAAAAAAATCGAGCTATAAAAAAATCTGAGAACTGATAAAACAGCTGAAGCAATAGCAATTTTTTTTTGAAAAACATTACGATGAACTAAAAACATTTGGAGCACAAAAATTTCAATCATTTTGTAACTCACTTCAAAACTACCATGATAAATGGAAACTTGACAAAATATTGAGAAATAAAATAAAATAAATTGCTTGTCAACAATTGATTTTCTTGAAAATTCATTTGGCGATTTGATAACAGACAAAAAATCGATCGAAAATCTTTTCAATTACAACTTTTCTACTCTGCGAAACAACGCTGGTGAAAACATACCACTTGACGCCGACCTAATGCCTGATAGGCAACATACATTGAAAAAGTTAGAGTTCCGTTTCATTACTTAAAAAAAAGGTTCACGATGAAATCAAATCCATCAACTGTAATAAATCATCAGGGCCGTCAAAAGTAACAGCATGGGCCCTTATAGACTTATAAATAAGTGTTCGGGAGGTAGTGAACTGTTGATCTATATTTTTATATTGACTGGGACAATTCAAGCTGCCAAGGGCAAGAACAAGTATTCGGGAGGTAGTGAACTGGTGGTCTATATTTTTATATTGACTGGGACAATTCAAGCTGCCAAGGGCAAGAACAAGTATTCGGGAGGTAGTGAACTGGTGATCTATGTTTTTATATTGACTGAGACAATTCAAGCTGCCAAGGGCAAGAGCAAGTGTGCGGGAGGTAGTGAACTGGTTATATACTTCCTAAAGTGAACCTAATCAGTGAACCTAAAAACGGTTCCATTAGTGAACCTAAAAACGGTTATATACTTCTCGTCAAAAGTATAGCCAGTATAACCCGCACTGGAGTTTCATGAACAATAATCGATTACATTGTCATTTTTTAGTCAGTATCTATGGAATTACAAAAATAATTGATTATAATTCATAAAGAATGGATTATAATTCATTTTTGCTGGAGATATAGTTCCATGTCTTACATCAATTTTAAATACTTGTATTGACCGCGAACAATTTCCATCAATACTGAAAACCGCTCATGAAATACCAGTGTTTAAAAAGGGTAACCACCGCAAAGCTGAAAATTATTGACCAATATCTTTTACTCAAATTCTTTCAGAAGTAATAGATCGGTTACTACAAAAACAGATGGTTCTGTATTTGAGCGAAAATATTCTTATTTCTGAAAATCAATTCTGGTTCCGTCAGCGCTCCTCTACAATTGATGCGCTTTTGAAGTTCACAGACGAAATAAAAATTATTATCGACAAAAACTTATATACATCAACTGCTTTTCTTGAAAATAAAGTACTACTGAGAAAACTAGAAAATTTCGTCTTCGAAAAAAGCTAAAAATATGCTCCAAAGCTTCTTGACACAGAAATCAGAAAGTCCATGTAAACGGTTGCTTCTCGAATGTAATCAAAATCAAGCAAGGAGTACCCCAAGCCACGGTATTGGGACCGCTCTTTTTGAACCTTTATGTAAATGATCTGAACAAACAGCTAGATAGCACCTGCAAAATGATACAATACGCAGATGATACGTTGATTTATTGCTCAGTTTTGAGCTTAAACTTTGCGAAAATAAACCTAGAATTCGACCTAAATAGACACCTAAATTTCTTCAAAAGTCACAAACTCACTTTGAACGAAGACGAAACACGGTGTGTCATCTTTGCTATATCTCGAATGAAAGCAAGTCAAGAAATACAAACCATAGAAATAGCAGATTTTAGAATCAAAGAAACAAATCATGTTAAAAAATTTACAACAGCAATAACATATTGGCAACAGCAATAAAAATATTGGCAACAGCAATGAAAACCCTAGCTCAACTTAAGAGCTCACTGCCAATTACATACAGGGTTACACATTGAAGTGTCTAGTTCTCAGCCAGCTTAATTATTCACTGCCACTATACAATTTAATTGGGACGTTAAAACAGCTTTTTCCAAAGGGAATTAGGAGAGTTCATTTTCTCTGGAATTAAATCACAAAATTCTTCCTATACGTCCCAGAGTAAGACTTTATACTCTAATATACTTTCTCAAATTAATAAATCATAAATAACCGCGTTTGATCAAACATACTTTCCAAATTACGAATACTGCAAATTCAAAGCACGTACTACGGAAGTTTATTTCAGTTTAACCATGACAAGCAAGTGCAAAGACAAATTTCTTGTTAAAGCTTGTTTTTTCTTGTTAAAGCTTGCAATTGGTTTAATATCTTGCCTGAAAAACTAAAAGACACAATCTCCTTGCCTCTGTTCAAAAAACAACTGAACAAACACATTTAGAATTGTTTGGTAACTCCAAGGAGCTGCCAATTTTCGATAAGATTTGGAAAGGTTGTAAGATTAGGGCTACAACTAAATAATTTAATTAATTTTGCGCCGTAATTGTCGCCATCTTGAGATCACCTAATTCACTAAAGATTTAAATTACTCTCATCAGTTCAATGTTGAGTCGGATAAAAACTTTGTTTTGTTCATTATTGTACACTGTATAGAATATGTTCCGCCTTATTGACTATTTTATCAATTCAGTGTGTGTCTCTCAATCTACCAATCAACCAAGGGTAGCACTGGGTATGGTGATGGCACGTCATTTTTTCAATATTTCGACAAGAAACCTGAACAGGGTTCGGTCCGGAAAAAAGAACTTCTTTTCAGTCATTTTGAACCAAATTTAATTTAAAACATTGCCAAGTATAACAGAAGTGAAATTAAGTAACATTGAATTGAATGATAAGTTTTCATTCAAACTCCCTGCTGAGTCAATCTGTAAACGGGCATCTTCGCAGCTTTATTTGCTAGAACAACTAAATCATCGATACGTTTATGCTGCTTGTACTAGCACATAGTATGTGTGTGGGCTAATGAAGGAATTACATATTTACTAAAAATTGATTGAGTTCATTGTGCAGCATGTCCTTTTTCAGAATAAATTAGATGAGAAATTGAAGGCCGACCTCCAAATTAAATGCTCCTAGAGTTTTAATGCTATACTCAATATTAATTAGCAATGCTTGCATTAGTTCGTCTATTTCAGTATTCTTTTCTGGGAAATGAAACATGAATTTTTGGATAGAAAAAAATGAAAAAACATGTTGATTTTGTTTTCAATTTTAAAAATGGTTTCTGAATTTTTGAAAAAAAATTTCATGCAGGTCGTAACAGTTGTGTTACGGCACACCAGCCGTGTATCCTTGTTTTTTGTTATATAGATAATAAAGCTTGATGGAATTGAATGGTGGTGTGTTGTTTTGAATAGACTGCCTGTGCCTCGTGCAGGGGAAGTGCTGGGACTGGTCGGCACTAATGGAATCGGAAAATCCACGGCCCTCAAGATTCTCGCGGGAAAACAGAAACCCAATTTGGGAAAGTTTGAAGTGAGTCTTATTCCTATTAGAACCTGTTACAGATCAATTGACTGTAAAAACTTATTGAAAGAGTGAGAGAAATTTTGCTCATTGCGTTTTTCTTATCGAGTGCGAAATAGTGTAGATAAAAACATCTTTTAAACATTCCTTCAATTGGTCAATTTTCGAATAATTGCGAACTAATTAATTTTGTTGGCATCCAACGAAATTGATGTCAGTTTTCATTTGTTTCGCTCCTAATATCAGTGCCCCTCTGCTCAGCAGGGATTTCGGTGCCAGCTGCCGATATAATTCACTCGTCTGAAAAGAGTTTCATTTTTGAGTGATCATTTGGAAAGTGATTCGGGACAGCATTGTGTTTTGTGATGTGTATTCTATTGCTTATGTGTTTGTTGATAGGCGCCCCCAGACTGGGCTGGAATTCTGCACCATTTCAGAGGGAGTGAGTTGCAGAACTACTTCACTCGCATTCTGGAGGACGACATGAAGGCGATTATTAAGCCACAATATGTGGACCAGATACCCAAGGCGGCCAAGGGAACAGTGCGCACACTGCTCGACAGAAAGAATGAAACCAACAGGCAAGTCAAAGTCATACACCCATACGCAGAGAAAAATAACAACTGGCTACCATTATCACTTAAGCGAAGCTTAGTCTTATTTCATATTAACGAAGTAATTGATACACTGCCTAAATAGGTCACGCGATGTTTGCAGTGAACACTTTTTTCTTATCTGAGCCAAAGATGTGAAATTTAGCTGTCAGAAAATGTAGGATGAATGAATATCGCCACCATCGCCATTATCGAGAAGTTTATGAGCTAAAACTGGCCTTGAAATCTAATCAATATTCGGGTATAAAGAAGGCTGCTGCGGGCACTCTTGTTAATTTTTGTACCACCTGCGAGCTTCGATTGTCTTTTCATTTTATTAGCGATTAACGATCTGTTTTTTTTTCCTAGTTTTACATGCCGAATTGAATGTTTTGTGTAGGCTGGAGGAGTTTGCGAAACAACTGGAGTTGAACCATGTGATGGACCACAACATCATGGACTTGTCCGGAGGGGAGCTGCAGAGGTTCGCCATCGCAGTCGTCTGCATCCAGAAGGCAGACATCTTCATGTTCGACGAGCCCTCCAGCTACTTGGATGTCAAACAGAGACTCAAGGCCGCCTCCGCAATCAGAGCAGTACTCGAGGTAATTCATGTATAACACTTTAAACTCAAGTAACCAACTCTAGAGTGTAATTAGACATTTATGTGCAAGTTAAGTGCTTTGACAAGTTTATTTGTTGTATTTTTCGAATGCGAAAAAAGAAACGCTGACATCAGAATCTGCGGAGAGTCCGTTAACTTTTTTCTTTAGAAGGATCCGATGATTTACCATTTTTCTTCTTTAGGTTTATTGCTTCTTAAATAGGTAGCATTAGTGCGTTTTTAGGATTTATTTGATAATAAAATTTAAGGAGAGGTGTATGTTCAAAAATTGGTTACGGTAGGAAAACTTCTACCCTAAAGTTGTCATTAAATTTTTTTAATACACATTAACTTCTGCTTTTCTGGCTGTGCTGGATTTTAGTTTGCTTTGATGTGTTTGTGTAGACGCACAAGTATGTGATAGTAGTGGAGCATGATTTGAGTGTGTTGGACTATCTGTCAGACTTCATCTGTGTGCTCTATGGCCACCCGGGTGCCTACGGGGTTGTCACTCTGCCCTTCTCAGTCCGCGAGGGCATCAATGTGTTCCTGGATGGATTCGTGCCCACGGAGAACCTGCGCTTCCGCGAGACTTCTCTCCAGTTCCGCATCAGTGAGACGGCGGAGCGGGAGGGCGGAGACTTGAAGCAGATGAGGAGGTACCACTACGGCACCATGATGAAGAAACTCAAGGGTAAGATGAGATAAATCAATACTGATTCAGATAAAGGAGATCTTGTCTGTCGGAAGAAAAACAAGCTACAAAATAGCCAGTAATATGAAACTGATGAAGAATTCTTACTGGTTGGGTGTTTTTGTCATTTAAAGGAAAAAATCTTCATTGACTTCTAACAACTTTTAGTTTTCAGATTTTTTAAATTTAAATTTGAGGCACTTCGTTCATGTGACTTTCAAAAATGACATAAATAAATGGTCGATTTGCACAATTGTCCAGGTCCATGTGTTTAAGTTTTGATTTTGAACCGAATAAGGAGGGCTATGACAGGCGAGTTTCAGAATTATTCTGTGCTTTAAATCAAGTTTTTTCGATTGTTTTGGTGATTTAATTCCCGTAGAGTTGATTTTTCTCTAGTTTTTTTCTTTTTTGACCCTATTAAATCCACTGCTTGGCTTTTGTTCGCTTGTGTTTGCGAAGCGCAGCTTCGCCTCTGCGTTCAACTTGGTCTTAGTTCTGCTTAATTGGGCGTTGTCGTGTGAAGCGAATAGTGATGAAAAATTGTGTAGGCTTTCAACTGGACATAGACTCTGGCAAGTTCACAGACAGTGAGATAGTGGTGATGATGGGGGAGAACGGGACTGGGAAGACGACGTTCATCCGCATGTTAGCGGGAAGACTGGAGCCGGATGAAGGAGATCCTGTGCCGGAGTTAAATGTGAGCTACAAGCCACAGAAGATCAGTCCTAAATCAGAGGTAAAGCATCCTAGTATTTACAGTTGCTTATTGTGTAATTTACGTTAATGTCAGAGGAAAACATTATCACGCTACTTTGAACATTGAGTAATATGAGCTAGATGGATCCTATTAAAATGCTTTCTTAGCTGCCTGATATCTAAGATAAAAATTATACGCGATGGCGATAATTGAGCTGTGATCGTTTTTATGCGGCAATGCTTTGTGGGACCAATTTTTAAGATGGGAACAAATCACTGTGTTTTTGTGTGTAGGGAACTGTGCGACTGTTGCTGCATGATCGGATCAGAGACGCCTACATACACCCCCAGTTCATAGCAGATGTGATGAAGCCCATGGACATCGACAACATCATCGACCAGGAGCTGCAGAACCTGTCTGGGGGAGAACTGCAGAGGGTGGCCCTCACTCTCTGTCTGGGCAAACCAGCCGACGTCTACCTCATCGACGAGCCCAGTGCCTATCTCGACTCGGAGCAGCGTATCATGGCGGCCAAGGTGATTAAAAGGTGGGTGGGTTCGCTTGTTTTTCTATCTTAAGTTTGTATAAGGAGTGAACTTAGACGATATTGAATTTTGAATTCTTTGTGGTCCTTGAGTAAAAACTTGAGTAGGGAATCGAGATTGGATCGTACTCAGTCATAAGGTCTGAGCAAAATTTAAGCGCTGCTTTTAAAACGGTTCTGGACTATGGGAGCGCATTTTACCCGTGTGTTGTCTGGTCTGTTGTTTGCTGTGTGCATTTGATGTCGATGTTGTTGTTTTATTTTGTTATTGTGCTTTTGCTGCTTTAGGTACATTCTGCACGCGAAGAAGACGGCCTTCGTGGTGGAGCATGACTTCATCATGGCCACCTACTTGGCAGACAGAGTCATCGTGTTCGAGGGACAGCCAGGCATCAAGACCAAAGCACTCTCGTGAGACCACCATCATTTTATTCACCATCATTTTATAACTAATTTGAGATGTGATTGCAATTTTATTTTAAACTGGGAGAGGTACTAGTTTTCGTGCTCGGTCTGTGTTAATTGTGTTCTGAGATGCGAAGAGTTAAAATAGAGTTAACACACCAAAAAGGTTGTCTCACTACTTGGAAATATTTGTTGATGTTTTTGTTAGTCATTCTCTCTTGAAAACTGCGGTTGATCGATATTTCGGAACATTTGAACAGAGGTCTTAAGCGGTTCTATGGGGGATCATAGCTTTTTTTGAGGACCAAACAAACAGTTTACTAAATTGAAATGTTAATTCTGAGATGTAAGCTATAGAGTGTGACGTGCTTTCTTTTCTGTTCTAGTCCTCAGACGTTGTTGGCGGGAATGAACCAGTTCCTCAAGAGTCTCAACATCACTTTCAGAAGGGATCCGAACAACTTCAGGCCCAGAATCAACAAGCTCAACTCTGTCAAGGTCACACAACTTTCACGAGTTCCTTTCACAACAATTTGAAGACAAATTATGCTATCCAGTAGCAAAAGAGCAAATGTTGTCTTTTCTTTATACTCTGATGTTGAAAATGTTTCAGAAACTTGTCATTTTTTGGTCACCTGGAGTTCATTGACGTGTTTCCAACTGTCTTGGCTTTGTTGTAAAACTTAAAAAATTCCGAAATATTTTAGCGACGGTGTTGCTTATTTGACCAATAATCGAAGACAATAATTGTTAATACAATTAACCTTAAGAAATTCTTTTCTTGAGAATGTTTTGCACGGAACTGGTGTTATTCACATCGCTCCGTTTCCTGTCACAAAACTTACAAAATAGAGTTTTCCTGGTAGTATGTGTTATAATCTCGACTATAAGAAATCACTCAACCAAGTCTTCCTATTTATCGGTGATCTGAACTCTGTTGGGGCAATAAGATAAACGTGCTGAAAAAGAAAGTTTTGAGATATGGGCTCGATATGTTTCAGGACTCTGACCAGAAAGCGAAGGGCCAGTACTTCTTCATAGAAAACATGTGAGACGCCGAGAGAGGGAGGAGAGAAAGAGCGCGGGGGTTTGAGAGGGCTGGCCAAGACCAAAGGGGAGACGATATAACAGAACGCAAACAGTTATTCAAAGTAATTCAACCTTCAGTAAAGCTCTCGTAATTGTCATCTTCAAAAAGCTACAAGTGAAATGAACCGAAATGACTGATAAACCTTGAAACGTAACAATAACTAGTATGTGTTATGAAAAGTTACAAAAAGCTCGTATATATTTTTTAATGAACCGTCGATTCACTTCAACCAAACGTAAATGATTTTCTAAATATAGGTAGTCGGAAATGGTGAAGAATAAATTGCACGTTTTTTTTTTGCTTGAAAAGGTTGAATTCAGTCTAATTGTTTTTTGAAAATGAGGTTATTTGATTTTTCTGAAATATCTGTAATTTTTACCAAATTGCTATTACCTGATGGAGTGCTTTGAATGTAGTTTGACTTATTTGTTTATCGGTGTATACTTATTCATTCCTCGTGTTCAAATGAAACTGGCCAGGCTGTTCCTAATTGCTCAAGGATACCAAATAAATAATTTATTATTCAGTGCTTTGAAATTCAATTTTCCTTGCTTTTCTGTGTTTGACCCAAATTGCACCCACCATAAAACAGCGTGTCTCAAATCAACTTTAGAAGCACCAGGAATATTAAGCCAGCATAATAGCTGGCAAATAGGTCAGAAAGTGTTGATGTGCTCTTAGGTACCAGTGGATACTATGACAGGGTGGCCACGGTATCAAGGCGGGCAGTGCAAATTCAGTGCGAAGCCTGACCTGTCAGTGCCATATCGGTGACAGCAAGATTATACAAGTGCCAAAAAAAATTTCGAAGCGCTCCAATCAATCATTACAAATGGAAGCAGGTTTTCACCAATTTTTTCAGGCAATATGAGATCCTCTTCTAAAATCAATGTTATGAGAAGTTATTTTTGAACCATTTTTCTGAGAGCTTGGTTTTCGAACTGTAAACTATCAAAAAGAAAACAGCTACTTTCGGAAAACTTAAGTGCCAGGCATTCAATTTCATGTACCAGTGTCACTGCCAGCAATCTGTGAATACTTTGACCACCCTGCATTAGGTTTATCACAATCACATGGATGAACCGTCCTTGTTCCAACCACTCTAAAACAGGGGACAGGGTTTTGGCTACCGCAAAAGAAAGCTCGTATCAAAATCAAGTGTATCATTTTGAAGACTTTTCAGTTGTAATTTGCATTGCAAAAACATACATAAAAAAGCTCCACAGATGTGAATTCATATATATTAATGCTTTTATGAATGCACTTTAATATATATGCTTTTTTCAGTTCAATTGAAATTCATCTGCTAAAAGTGACGCAAAAAGCGTTCTCCAAATACGAACGTGGAAACTTGAGCGATTTCCGGTTTTGAAAGTTGAATTTAATTTAACGTTTTCAGCGGAATTAAAAGCGGTAACTTCCCAAATGGCATAAACAAATTCAGTACATGTGCGAACACTTTGAGGCGTGATAAAGTAAGATTTGTCCAGACCGTTTTCATTCACGCCTTATTTTGAACACTTGTCAATAAATCACGAATCACTCTCAACATTTAATTCAAGCAGAACTATCAGATTCTTAGAAAATGCCCCAAATTGAAGTTCTGAAAAGCGTCGGGGCTGGAGTTTGTATTATGACGGATTTTTTTATAAGAAAAGTCTAAGCTACAACCAAAACAATTTAAAGCCTTGAATTGAATTTGGCTCCTAGATCACTTCAAATATTGAAATGGATGCCCTGTAAATTCATCCAACTTCACATGCCAATATGTCCGTTTGTAAACACTACAAAGATCTCACTTTAAAAACTAAAATTCTTCTGGAATTTTCCCTAAACGCACTCGAGTCAGTTGCCGAAAGTTAGGACAAATTTGTAATTGGAACTAGTGAACCAAGTCTCTCCTCCAGAAATTTAAAATCGATACTGTATCGCCAACGATACACAATAATGCTGAAAAGCCCTAGAAGTATCGAATCGATAAGAGTTCGAGATGAATGGACAGAAACGCAGGACGGATTTTTGTTTGTCAAAAAACGACAGAGGTGTATTTTCATTGTTTCTAGCGATGAAAATACGATTCGACAATTGAAAGCGCTTTCGAAATGTAGAATTATTCTTTCTTATGGAACATTTAAATCGTCACCGATCTTTTTTTTACTAAGCTTACATTTATTTTGGAGTTTTTGGAGAATCAAAATAAAACGACAGGAATATATCGACGAATTTAACAAATAACATCAAGAAAACTTCGAAAAATGGAACTGCAACCTAAATTCAAATAACTTATCTGCGACTTTGAGTCAGCGGTGAGATACAACATTTCTGCAATTTTCAACCTAGAAATCGTAATCAGTTTTTGAGACTACCATGTGGCTTCCACCAGGGACGTTTCTTGGGGATGATGGTCAAGTTGTTGTCGAGGTGAAGAGTGCATGGCCATAAAATTTACTAGGTAAAATCTATGGCCAGATACTCTTCATCTCGTCACCAACTTGACCGACATCACCCAGAAACGTCTCGGACTTGATCTCTAATATGGTCTCAAAACCATCCTCGATCACTAAGAACAGAGTTTCAAAAATCATGAGTTTCAGGCAGCAATAGAAACAGATTTCCCAACAGTCAGAGTTCGAAGTTTTTATTTTCGTTTCTCCAAACAAATTATGTCGAAAATTGAAGATTTTGGATTATTTACACCGTACAAAAATGTTAGAAGACTAAACCAATTTATTCGATAGTTTTTTGCCATATGTTTTCCACCAGCTTTTTATGTCCGCCAAAAGCTTCTTGAGGTACTTCAAGAAACTTCGACAAGATTACTGGTTTAGCGAGTTACAAATCTTAGTGTCTTTTTAAACTATTCTCAGGCAACTTGGTTACATAACTTTCCACCAAATATCAACAAAGTTTATGCCAAGCAGAGCTTTCTGAGAACAAAAAATGCATGTGAAGGCTATAAAAGTCTGTTCATTACACAAGTACGTCGTCGAATTTGCCCAAATTTTTGGGTGTTTGTTGAAACCTTACAAAATGAAGAAATTTGGCAAGAAGATTTTACAAGTGATACCAACTGGGCTATCAAGCTGATGTTAAACAACGAAAAAAAATGGAGAAACCTCAACGCATTGATTTGCAACGTGAAACATAGATTCGAAGCCCAATCGCTTGATATTGAGGGACATTGGAATATTATTTCAGAAATCGCAAAAAATTGTAAAGTTTAAAAACCAATTGATTTGTTTCTTTTTGTTGAATATTTTGGTTGTAATATTCTGAAGTTAATTTAAATCTTATGCCATTTTTCAAAAGTTGGACTATAAATTCCATTTGGTAAATTAACAAATTTTATGCCATTTGGGATTTTTTTTTGAAATCTATGCCATTTGGGAATTTTAAAACTTTTATGCGATTTGGTAATTATGCCTTTTGAAATGTAATCATAAAAACTTTACATATGATCCAGCTTTCTTCAGTTGGTGTAATGTTCTCGAAAAACGCAATCATAAATCAATCAAAAACTAAAAATGCATCTAATTTTTTCTTTGAAATTCGATAATTCGATTTTTTGAACAAAGTGTTGTTGTTTCTGCTTACTTGCGTTCTTTTCCAACTGTCAGTTGGCTTCGTTTAAGTGTGAAAAAACTAGATAATTTTCACTTGAATTTACTCGGGAAAAGTTTAACGCACAAATTTGATTCTTCGTGATTTGTCTTTATTTTTCGTTTTAACTTTATTTAATTTTTAATTTTACAAGGGATACAAACATCTCTATTGAAGAGCAAAAGTTTAAAAGGAACGAAAATGGAATGATTTCTAGTTTCGAATTCGAACTTATTTTTCTTGAATTCCAAATTGAATAAGAAAATACCTTTTGATCCATTTTTCTTTATATGAGATAAATTGATAGAAAAAGCGCCTATCACAAACAAATCTAGGATATACTGATTCTTCATCTTTCGAAAGTTAAAAAATATTTAACAAATTTTCAACCAAAGTTTTATTTTGTTTTTGTTGTTTGCAACACCCTTCATTTATTTTGAAGCAAGTACAATAATAAACTCATTTCCGTAATTTCATAAATTTTCCAACTCGATTTCAGAAATTGTCTAATTCAATATCTCTCGTAATTTTTTTGAAATCCATATTTTATATATTATTTAATTTTATGCTTCACAATTTTATACATGCAAAGTTGTTGTGGGTGCAATTAGTTTGTTATATTCCAAATTATTGGCTAAAACATGCAAAATAGTGTGATGTGCAAGTTTTGGTGCATCGAAATAACATTTTATTTTCATAAATAGTTGCTTTATTTGTGACTCGTGTTAGTAGATTGTCAACAGACCATGGCGCAGATGCTGGTCGTACAATCGAATCCGCAACGGCAAAAAATTTTCAATTTTCAAGTCCTAATTTTCTTTTTTTCTTATTGAGCTGCATTTTTGATGGTTTCTCGCTAGTATTTGCAAAGCGCAGCTTCGCCTCTGTGTAGTTTTTTTGTGCTACCTGTGTAGAAATTGCCTAAACTTTTTAGATATAAACCGCCCTGAATTGCTGTAAAGAGTCACATGAAAAAGCGAGGGAAGTTTTCTGATCCCTCTGATACATCACAAAAAGAATGTGACATATTATGACATCATAAATATCCAGTCAATTTAAAGGAAAAGTTAGGAACGCTATTTCCTAAAAAAATTGAAAAGTCTGTTTTTGTTGTCAAACTTACTAGTGGAATAATTTTGTTTCAAATTGCGTCAATTCCATCGGAGAAGTTCAATTTCGAAGAGTTTAGACGCCATATATTTGTTCGTTTAAAGTCAATAGAAACGAGCACATAATGGACTCAAGTTTTTTTTATTAACTTGAAACTTCGTAGTAGTTTGTTAGCTATGTTTACGTGCCAAAAAGGGACGTGAAAACAAGATATAAATTACGATAATTTTTAGTTCTTTTTCTCATTTACAGCAAAAGTTAAAACAGCTTTTAGGTTCAGCGATTTGAACTTTTTTTTTAAATTCAACTCAATTATTAAAAGGAATTTAAGTTAAAAACAATGTTTTTTAAGTATAAAAGCAGAAAAGGCACAAAAAGTGTAAAAATTTGAATGGTTTAGAGGTCAAAGTTTTTTTCGAAGATTTCACATTTTCACAAGTTTACTGAAAAGTTTACTGAGAGTAATCTAGTGCATTGTTTCTAAGTTCGCAAAACATCTGAGCTAGCTCATGTAGATCTGGCATCTAATAATCGATAACGATCATTTTGTAAATAATTACGACTTATGCGAAATGCAAACTAGTCGGCTCTTGAATAATTAAAGTAAATTGATTTTGTAAAGGTAATTATTTCAACCGTGTGACTGCTAGATGCAAACAATTTCTACGAGATTTCGATATTCATCTCTTGGAGAAAATTTTTGTTTCTACAGTCACAATACTTAAAATTTACATTTTTTTTTGCTTTCAAAGAGCAAATGAAAGAGTTTTTTCTTCTCGTTTTTGTCAATTTTTCTGAAACTGATTACAAAATAGGGTTGGAATTCGAATTATGCTGCATGAAACCT